CTCGACATATTGAAATTCTTAATTTTTGAACAAAGATTTGCATTTTCATTTTGTACAGGGCCCCAGAAATCATGCCGGTCCTATATGGGGCAAAGGGAATTCCAGCCAGAGGGGGTATCAAGTGGAAAGGTCAAGAGGTAGGAATGTGCTGGCAACTTGTGGTCTGGAGTAGGAAAGTCCGCGGTGGGCTTCCTCTGTTCTTCTGCCCTTTGAGCCCACACCTTCTCCCCTGCTGCTCACTGAGGTTCCGACCTGCCCAGGGCTGCCCTAGAAGGTACGTGGGAGAGTAGTGAGATTACGGGTCCAGGAAAGGGCTGCCTTAGCCTGTGTTTGTTTTGAACTCTCCAGGCTTGGCAGATGTTTCAAGCTGACTCTTTTATTTGGTAGGGGTGGAGGGCGGTCTTGGAAGTCCTGGTCCGGTTTCCCCCCAAAGCAGAGCCTGAGACAGAGACTTAGAGGCGAGTAGTTGCTTTGGGAGGTGACCCCAGAAAGCAGAAGGGAGGGAAGTAGGAAGCAGGCAAAGCACAAAGGGGGATGGGGAGGGTGTCTTCCAGGTTGCTGCTTTCGGTCGGTCGTGGAGCCTGGGTTCCAGAAAGCTCGACGCAGACAGAATACCTCCCAGAGTTGTCTTCTTCTGAGCAGAAGGCTGGAGCTTTCTCCAACAGCTTCCACGAGTGCTGTTCTCGGGGTGCTAAAAGCCTGCACTTCTCGTCTGCACCTAAAATGGCAGGCTGGGCTAGAGCCCAGAGGCTGGAGAGCTGAGGCATGCCTGCTGGCGCAGGGCTGAGGGCAGCGGGCACAGGACTGCCCACTCCTGCTGAAGCTGAAATCTAGGGTGGGCTGTGACTGTGTGGCTCGGGCCACTCTTGTGTTTGCAGTGCTGGGGACAGTCACTGCAGGGTCTCATCTGCGGATCCCTTGAGGAGGGCCAGCTGCTTACGATGCCTCCTGCCATCGCAGAACACCCCGGGGACACCTCCAGCCACTTTCTGCCAAGCCTCATGGCCCCTGCGAGAGACCTCCTGGGGCTGGATGTAAGGCTGCCTCTCCCCTGCAGCGCGGTTCAGGCCTGCAGGCCGCATACACCTGTAGCCCGCTTCCATGGAAATGCAGTTAATTCCCTCTACCACTGGTCTCTGTTCTGCTACTACTGACAGCCCGTCCCTTAGGGGTTCTCGGGCAAGAGTCAGTCACCCAGCCATGGAGTCCCAGGGGACACCCCCCAACCTCTCTGGTGTCCTTGAAGCCCCCTCACTCCATCCCTCTCTCTAATCTCCGACTCCAGTCTCCACACTGCCTTCAGGATAAAGCCCTCCACCTTGGCAAGGCTCTCTTCATTCCAGCCCCCCCCCCCCCGCCTTTCGGATGCCATCTGTTGCCTCCAGGTCCCCTGTGCCCCGCCCCCGAACATGACAGCTCATTCCCGAAACTCACCCAGCCATTCATACCTCTGCACCTTTGCACATGCTGTTCCTTCTGTTTAGAAAGTCCTTTCCCTCCTCATGGCTTGGTGAACTCTTCCTCATCCTGTAAGGCTCTAGACAAGTGGACTTTAGGCAGAGAGTTTCTGTAGGCAATCAGTACCCCCGTGTCCCCACTGCACCATGCGCAGTTGAAATCATGGTCTTGGGTCAAACCCCTTGGGTTTGAATCCTGGTTTTGCGATGTGTAGGAGTCAGGAATTATTTCAACAATGCTGTGTAATTGCATTTTTGTGTAATTGCCTAAACATTGCAAGGGGCTTATAACAAGCCTTTCTTTTTCTCACTCATTGGCAAAGGGAGGGAATAAACAACTAAACTAGAGTAATAGTTGACATTTGTTGAGCAAACACTGTGTGTCAGTCAGTGTGAGTACTTCATATGGGTTATTTCATTTACTCCTCATGCCAACCCTATATGGAGGGTATTGGCCTGTTTTAGAATGGATGAACTAGATGTCCAGAGAGGGTACATAACTTGCCTGGGGGAAGGGGCAGAGCTAAGGTGTGAACGCAGGCAGGATACATTCATGTGTGTCACTGCTTTGCCGCCCCCAGTGAATAGATGCCTTTGTTTTGGGGAAAAGATAAGAATGTGTTCCGGACAGTTCAGGCCCCACATCCTTTCTCTTACTTTGCTTGTGCTGAAGCCCTTCCTGGTGGTCTCCTAGCTCAGAGCCTGACTTCTGAGGCCCTTTGACTCTTCAGGCCCGCCCAGGAAGCTGGTCTCCCTGGACACCCTATTCCTCTAATGGCCGAACCTGATGCCTGGGAAGGCAGCTGGATGATGCATAGATTACTGGATAGGTTCCCCACTCCCCTCTCCTAGGGTCTGGATGCAAAGGATTACAGGGCTTTGGGCTCTGGGAGCAAGGGAGGCCCTGGGCCTCCCCCAGGTGCCTGAGCTGTGGGAGGGCATGAAGGGAGGTGGCCTTGGTGGCCTTGGAGCTGCTCCCACTGTGCCTGGCCTGGAAAAGGAGTTGAGGACAGCAGGGTAGGGAAGGAATGTCCTGGATCCACAGCTTCACTCCTTGTTACCAGTACTGTGTACCAGATAAGACCTAGGCTGGGATCCAGGCCTGCCACTAGGCAACTGGGTGGCCTTGGGCAGGTAGCATCTTCTGGAACAAGTTTCCTCATCCCCAGAATGAGGTAATGAAAGAACACCCTTGTGGGCTTATAGTGCGCATACGGGGCTTTGCATCGGGCGTGGCACTTGGCAAGTACTCCGTAACTGATCACTGTTCCTTTTTTAAATTATTTTGATCATTCAGCTCTCAAACATCCATAGCCAAGTGTCATGGTCAAGTGCCTTTTCTTCCGCAACCACATCTCCAGATCCATTTCTCAGAGCCCAAGTATATTGGGAGTTATGTGACCTGGAATACATAATTTCTGTCCACTGGGCCTCAGTTTTTGTATCCATAAAATGGAGGTCATCACAGTCAATTTGTAGGAATGCATGGGGCTAAATGAGATAATATAACAGTCCCATGTGCCCTTTCTGATCCTCAGTTTCCCAATTTGTAGAATGGGTTAATAAGAGTTATCTCGATCAAAGGAAATAGTTATGGCAACTAGTTAGCATATGGCTCTCAGCGCATGGCAAGAGCTTAATAAGCTGTACATGTCCAGTACAGAGCAGGTGTTCCCAAACTGGAAGCTGAGTCTAAGTTACCTTCCAATTTTCAGTTTTTATTCACTATGATAGAGTATATTCCATCATATAGAATATAATTTCTGGGGTGCCTGAGTGGCTCAGTGGGTTAAGTGTCTGACTTAGGCTCAAGTCATAATCTCATGGTTTATGAATCTGAGCCCCGCATTGGGCTTTGCACTGACAGTACGGATCCTGCCTGGGATTCTCTCTCTCTCTCTCTCTCTCTCTCTCTGCCCTTCCCCCTCCCCAAATAAATAAACCTTAGAATATAATTTCCATAATGTTCTTACTTGTTCATTTCCTATACCCTGCCTGTTCTAAACGATGGGATCTTCTGTGCTATTTTTTCTATCCGCATGGGTGACAGATTTCACTAAATCGTAGGGTTTGGGTTTGTCTGAACGTGTTGAAGTAAAGACCTGTTGCATCTTATTACATTATGATTATATATGTTTTGTTATAATATAATAAGGAAATATACATTCCTCTAGTACTCACTAGAATTCACTAGTTGACAAAGAACCTTCATACCCACTGTTTTATTAGTTCTCCTAACAACCTGTCGGGTATTATTTCCTTTTCTTTTTTTTAATGTTTTTTATTTATTTCTAGGAGAGAGAGAGAGAGAGAGAGAGAGAGAGAGAGACAGCGTGAGCAGGGGAGGGTCAGAGAGAGAGGGAGTCACAGACTGAAACAGGCTCCAGGCTCTGAGCTGGCAGTCAGCACAGAGCCCGACGCAGGGCTCGAACCCGCGAACCGCGAGATCATGACCTAAGCGAAAGTCGGACACTCAACCGACTAAGCCACCCAGGCGCCCCTATTATTTCCATTTTAAAGGTAATAAACTTGAGGCTGAGGACAGAGAGACTTGCCCAAGGTCAAACGGCCAGTTAGGGGTAGTACCAGGATGTGGATCCTGTCACCACACTCAGGCCCCCTGCAGTCCCTCTGAATGGATTCAAAACTCCCTGAGAGCAGAGCGGTGTCCCTCCTTAGACTGTTGTCCCCTTTCTGCTCTGTATCCATCAGGCGATGTGCACCCCAGATGGGGGCGTGGGGGTGTCTCCCACTCTGTCTTGTCATCGCTGCTCCGGTGTTTGCTGAGGGCCTCCTCTATGCAGGGATCCCTCACCCTTCGGGTGCTCTCCCTTCTGCGGAGAGATGTTACACTAGGGAGTAGAAAGTGGGTGTTTTAATAGGGGTTCAAACACCAGGCCTGGGGCTGGCCCACCAGGGGAAGCTGCCCACGGAGAGAGGCGAGGTGGGAACTTAAATAAGACAGGGGTGCAGAGGCGGGGGTGGGGCCTCCAGGCAGACACACGAAGCCGGCGAAGGCTAGGCCCATCTCGACCAGAAACAGCCCAGTGAGCGGTGGCATGTGTGGATCCTACTGGCTTCGGGGCTGGGCGGCGGGCTCTCGCTGGAAGCGTCCGCGCTCCTGCTACAACGGGCCCGGCGCCCGCAAGTCAGCCCCCACCCCGGGCCGGGAGCTGGTGGTTCAAGACCGCGGAAGTGGGATCCGCTCAGCGGGAGCCTCCGCAGCGCCACCGCCCTGCCGGGGACTTGGGCAACTTCTGCTGTCCGGGCCTCGGTCTCCGCGTCTTTCTGGACGATAACCGGAGGAACTCCCGGGCCTGCGCGGTCGCGGGTGTGGGGAGCCCCCCGGCCGCTGCGAGCAACATGTGGGCGCGGCGGGGTGGGGGATCGGGAGAGGCCGGCGGTTCACCCGCGCCCCGCCCGCCCTCCCGCCTCCGGGCCGGGCCACCCGCCGTCCCTTTATCAGCCGGTCGCGCGCCTGGACGCCGGCAGCGGGTGCAGGGGGTACTCCAGCGGGAGGCGGCGCGCACGCGGGCGGGGAGAGACGCTGGAGTCGGAGCACCCCCGGGACAAGGGTGGGAGGATGCTGGGGGACCAGCTGCAAGGGAGCACTACTGAGGGAGTGGGCTGGGCGGAGGGCCGGCCCGGGCAGGCGGTGGTGGAGAGGCTGGGGGCTCGCTGCTCCCTCTGCCGGGGGAAGGGGATCCTGGGAGACTCCAGGGGCAGAACGTGCAGGAGTACCTAGAACAGGGTGATGTGAGCGAGTCCCACTTGGGGGGCGCCCAGGCCGGTTGGGTGTCAGGAAAACATGGAGGTTTCTGGACCCAGTGAGGGGAGGGAGGGAGCCCCACACCACCCATAGCACTTGCTTCAAGCCTGCAGGCTTTGAGGACCCCCTGCCCAGAGGTTTCCTGGGGGCAGCCCATTCAGGCCTGGCCTGAGTAGGGGGGCCTGGTCAGGCCACCGCTGGTGAGTTTGAAGGTTTGATGGATTCCTAGAGCCTGGCTGCACCTTGATGGATGGCCCATGACCTTCTGTTTAGCTCCTATGGAAGAGGGTCCCAGCCTCACAACCAGGGGCTTGTGGCACCTCTGAGGCTCTTGGTGACAGGCTGTCCCTCTCCAGCCTCAGTTTCCCTAACCAGTGGAGCCCTTGCTGGCCAGTGGTGAAAGTTCTGTCCTTTTTCCACCACTTGTGCTGGGTGACTGTAGCCAGCTCACTCAACATGTCTGGGCTTGCTTTCCTGTTAGAGATTCTTCCTTGTCCTCGGAGCATTTGTGAGTCTGAGTTCCACAGAAGAATTCCTCTGAGTTATTTATTCTATCCCGATCACAAATGGAGGCCCCAAGTGCGGTTACAAAAACCAAAAATGATATCCGTTCCGTGTTGGAAGAAACAGAAGGACTTTCTGTAAACACATTCTGCCGAGTCTGGGAATTTGGTTTACATTGGAGGAGGTGACCTGGTTGCTCGGAGATCAGGAGGCCATCCAGGGATAAAAACTTTGCTTGTGTAATCTGTGGCCACCCACCAGGTGCCTGGAGGTTGACCACAATGGATGAAGGGCTGGAGCACTGGCTTTGGAGTCGGATGATGCCCCCTGTGATCCTGCCTCCTGGGCCATGATGCCAGCTTACCTGGAGGTTATGGGTTGCTTTGAGGGAGAAATGAAATGTGTGTGAAAGTTCCTTGAAAACAGGAAGCCACTGTAAATTGCTGTTAGTACCTCATCTTATTCATATTTTGGGCTCGTATATGGTATTGGCCTTGTCAGAACCCCTCAAGGAACCTCTAAGTCCTGTTTAATGCAGATAAGGCCTTACTATCTTACGTATGTATGTATGTATGTATGTATTTTTCTTAATGTTTTATTTATTTGTTAGGAGAGAGAGAGAGAGAGACAGCGTGAGCAGGGGAGGGTCAGAGAGAGAGGGAGTCACAGACTGAAACAGGCTCCAGGCTCTGAGCTGGCAGTCAGCACAGAGCCCGATGCGGGGCTCGANAGAATACATATGTACTTGGTGCGTCACATGGGAGATGGCTTCAAAAATATTTTTAAATTGCTGGGAGTAATAAATAGAATAGAAAATATTATTCTATGACTAAGAGATTAGAATATATACATATTTTTAAACGTTTTTTTATTTATTTCTAGGAGAGAGAGAGAGAGACAGCGTGAGCAGGGGAGGGTCAGAGAGAGAGGGAGTCACAGACTGAAACAGGCTCCAGGCTCTGAGCTGGCAGTCAGCACAGAGCCCGATGCGGGGCTCGAACCCGCGAACCACGAGATCATGACCTAAGCGAAAGTCGGACGCTTAACCGACTAAGCCACCCAGGCGCCCCAATGTACGTATGTATTTTTAAGTAGGTTCCACACCCAGCGTGAGGTTGAGCTCATGATCCTGAGATCAAGAGTTTTGTGTTCTAACTTCTGAGCCAGCCAGGATTCCCTCTCTGCCTTACTATTATTTTTATCTGAGGTTAGACTTTGTCTTCTAAGGCAAGATAAAGTTGCCTGGAGGGAGTGTGCTGAAGAATGGGGGCCCAGACAAGCAACAATGAATGTTTTACAAGCCGAGGTGGAGGCAACAGAGAAAGTTGAATTATAACCAACGAATACTCATGATAGTTAGGTGGGTTTTTTGTTTTTTTGTTTTTTTTTAGTTAGGCTGTTAAGCTCCAAGAAGGCAGGGTATTAATACCATTAGTTCCTACTCTTAGGTGCCAATTAGCTGGGCTATTCCAGAAGGGAAGTGTTTTAATTGCTTTGTTCACTGCCAAAGCTCCAGCACCCGGCATATAGAGGGTCTAAAACAAATATTGGAATGTCTCAGGGCCTGAAGGGACCTTTGAGGTAACTGATAAATTCACTCTCCCCTTTGACTTCGGGAGAAACAGGGCCAAAAGGGGAATGGACTTGTCCAAGGTCACACAGGGAGTAAGTGGCTGAGCCAGGACTAGAATCCAACAAAAGCAGCGGAGCCATGCTGTGCCAGAGCTAACGTCTGGCATCAGTACCTTTGTTTTGCTTTCACCAGAGCCCAAGGTGATTATTATCCTTTGATTATAAATGAGGAAATAGGCTCAGAGAGGTTAAAGGACTTTAGCAAAATCACACAGCTGGTAAGTTTCAGACTTGACATCCTATCCCCACATAAAAATGGGGACATGGCTTCACTTGAAATAGTCTGTGGGAGTGGTAGGTGCCCTCCTTGGGGCATCAGCTCCCTCCAATTCTGCATGGTCACCACCTGGGTGGCTTCTCTCAGGGCTGGATTTTCCTGGGCCCGTGGGGGTTTTGTTTGTGTGGGTGACCCTGCCAGTGCAGGGAGGCTGTCTGCTTCATTAAGCATGTGGCCCAGCCCTGTTGCGTTTTGCCTGCCGTGTGCGCTAACATCTCCGGGATGGGTATAACCCGGGGCTCTCCCTCTTCAGAGCCCCTTTACTACCCCATCCCGACAACCCGGTCTTCTGTTTTGCCCACAGGTGCTTAGGGGACTTTTTGACCATGTGTATCAGACCAGGAGGAACAGGGGCAAGCCTTGGCTGATGAGTTAGGTGAGGAGACTGACCTTGTATTTAAGAAAAGGACAATGGAGGTGGGAGGGCGGAGGAAGACAGAGCTCCTCGGATTGACAGGAGCTCCCACTTGAGCCCTGGAGATCTCAGTTCTGAGGCTTGGCCAGTCCAGAAGCTTCCCAAACCTGTGACACATGCCCTGGCCAGATTTCATGTCTTTTGGATCACCTGCTAGCAGGGTCTACCCCCTTTACCCTCCCACTGGGCGGATGGGGCAGCCAAAGTGGCCACCCTTTCCCTGGCAGTTTCATTTCCCAGCCACCTCTCTTGGGTCTGTGCACAAGTGCAAATCTTCAGGGCTCTGTGAAGCCACAGGGGTTACTCTGAATGGTCTGTGCTGGGGAGAATTTAATTATTAAATAAGGTCAGTGTCTCCAGGAGTTCAAACTCCAGCCAAATTTCCCTGGTCCTTGCATGCATCCACATAGAAAGGTAAATATTTCAAGGGACAAGGTTAACTGAAGCCCCCAAGTCCAGTGGAACCGGCTCTTGATGGCTAAAAGAAGACAGTTTTTTAGAGGCTACCAAGCAAATCTCTCAGGCTGGGGTATTTCAAATATCACTACTATTAATAATAATTAGTTACTACTAATAATAATTAATAATGGCAGCAATCATTTATCGAGTTGCTAAACTGTGCTACAAGTTTGTTCTGATAAGTTTAATCTTTATAAGCAATCTGTGCAGTAGATAATATTATAATCCTCATGAGGGACTAGGGATCAGAGACGGTGAGTCACTTGTCTTAGATCACACAGCTAGTATGTTATGGAAGCAGGCATCAGACCTGCTTTCTCTGAATCTGAAGTCCGTCTCCTTCCTGAGCCCTTATGGTGTCTGCTTTCTCCTTTAGTCCTAACTTCTTTCCATTATGATTCCTGGTGAGTAGGGGACAGAAGCCAGTCAAGTTTGCCAGACACCCATCAACCAGGCCCTGGACCACCTGATCTCAGCCCAGCTTTGCCCGCCTTGCTGTGTGATCTCCGGTAAGTCACGACTTTCCATAACCGGCCCTGGGCTTCCCTACATGTTTCATGTAGAGATTAATGCTGAACTTCTTCTGCAGCCGCTGCCTGGCTAGGAGGGCAGTGTTGAGCCCGGATTTGGCCAACTAGGGGAAAGGTATTAGGAGGGGGAGGGAGAGGTGGAGGTTGTCCTTAGCCCCACCCTCTGGTGACATCACACAAGACAACCTCCAATCCCTGGAAGCCCCGCCCTTAGTGACCCTCACCTGTGGAAGTACCACCCGGTGCTTGGCATCTGGCGATTTTGCCCAGTCCCACAGCAGAAGCCATCGGCCCCCCCAGGCTCAGGAAAAATCCCTAGGTAACCTGGGCTTGGAGGGGGGCCAGGGAGGGGGCCCTGAAACAGGCAGGGCCTGGCAGCCTGGTGGGCAGATGACTCAGGATCCCCTGCGGGTGGCCTCTGGATATTTCCCCCTCATCCTTCAAGCTCTTGCTGGCCCCCTGCACCTGCTCCTTTCCCCTGGATTCAGGGGCTCCATTCCCTGGAGTGAGGAGATGGGAACGATTTCTAAAAACAGACCTGTTCAGATGGAATGGGGCTGCTGGGGGAAGTCTAAAGGAAGTAGGGAGCAGGGTCTCTTTATCCCAGTATGTAGCCTCTGGGGTCTGTGCTTAGGGCCCGCTGTGTCTGGTGGAGGAGGGGGTCCCTGATGGAGCTATCCCCTGCTGAGGAGGGGGCTGTGAGCCAGGGCTTCATTGGCATAGGGCTGGTGGGCAGCTTGGCAATGTGGGGAGACTGAGGTCTCTTAGATGTGTGTGAGTTGCTGGACGACTAAGGAAATAATGTATGGGAAAGGCTTTGGCTGCCTGCGTTAGACCATTATTTTCCAAAGTAGGATGAAGATTCGTATGACAGAAGGCAAGATAGCAGCAGAGTGGCTAAGAGTACCTGGACTTGACAGAGAGCTGAGTCCAAATTCTGGCTTCTCTCTCCGTGTGTGTGTGTGTGTGTGTGTGTGTGTGTGTGTGCGCGCGCGCACGTACGCACATGCGCGCGCATGCATGTTCCTCCCTTGGGGAAGGAGCTCCTAACCTCTCTGAATTTCACTATCCTCAACAACACAATGGGCATGATAATACCTATCTCAAAAGGCTCGCTATGAGAATTAATTGTAACAAGGTTGTAAAGACTGAGCACATGGTAAGCACTACATTTCAGCTGGCTTGGTAATATAATTATTACGAGGACAGGAATCCTTGGTCAGGTAGTCTTGGCAAATGTACGTTCAACAGAGGGAAGCTGGCTTCTTTGCTGTCGGTCTTCTCAGAGACTTTAATAGGCTGTTATGCCTTGGGAAGTTCTAAGGGTGGGATATGGAGCCTTGGACTGTATTGAATGAATCACAGGGATCCAGAAACTAGGCCACCATCACCCATTATCATTCCCTGGTTTTTTCCCTTGGGCTGGAATGGAAACCTTGCTGGATTGGGCACTGATGGGGAAGGCCCTTCTGTCTCTGGGCTCTTGTTTTCTCATTGTGAAACAAGGCTCCTGCATGAGATGCTTTCGGAGGCCTTCTCTCACTCCCCAAGGTTCTGAGTTGGGAAGCCAAAGAGGTAGACAGGGGTGAAGCCTGAAGCCCAGTCTTTTGAGGAGGAGAGGGCCTCCATTGCTGCTTCTGCCACTAGCACTTCTGTGCTCTGAACGGAAGTGGCCAGCAAGGCTATGTGAAGAACAGGAAGTGGAGTTAACTCCTTGTGCAGTAACTATTTAACTCCTGTTTCCTCATTGGGCCAGGAGAGACCAGAGCTGACTTGATAAGTATAATGTGGGAGGAGCTTGGGGATGGAAGTCCGGCCAGGGTGAGGAGGCTGATGGGCTGGGGGCTTGTCTTGATGCTGCCTTTGCATGGCAAGCTCCCTGCATTCACTTGGACTGTGTACAAATTATCAGGGGACTTTTGGGGGTGATCATGGTGCTGCTGGTGGCAGAAATATCAGTGCTTCATCCTGCCTGGACCTCCTTGCCTGTTACAGTGACTGGTGCAAAGCTAGTTGCAATCAATGCCTGATAAAAAGTGGATGGGGCGTGTGGGTGGCTCAGTCAGTTGAGTGTCCAACTCTTGATTTGGGCTCGGGTTGTGGTCTCACGGTCGTGGGACCGAGCCTCATGTCAGGCTCCACTCTCAGCATGGAGCCTGCTTGGGATTCTCTCTCTCCCTCTCTCTCTGCTCCTCCCCTGCTCTCTCTCTCTCTCAAAATAAATAAATGGAAAAAAGAAAGAAAGAAAGATGGATGGAAAACCAGAATGCTGAGTCCAATAAGCTTGTTAGAGAGAATTTGAGGGGTGAGAGTTGTCTGGCACACGCTAGTTTTTCAATAGATATTTTGATTTAATGAATGACACAGTGAATACTGTTAAGCCTGACTTAAGTAACTGGTTCCAGGCCAAGCTGTATGTAGGGTATATAATTAGGGAACGATGAATAATTTGCCACCATGTCTTGCAAAGCACAGTGTAGGGTAGTGGTTAAGATTGCAAACTGAGTTCAGATCGTGCCTCTGCCACTTCCTAGCTAGGTGGAGGTGGGGGGAGGGGTGGGGTTGAGGTCCTTAACTTCTCCATGCCTCAGTTCCTTATCTGAAAAATGGGAGTAATGATAGTACCTACTTACAGGATATTAAGAAGCATTAATGAATCAATTATACATAAGGTGCTTGAGACATGTCCAGCACAGAGCAAGTACTGTGAGCATTTGCTATGATTTGCTTTCATCTCAACAACTCTACCATACTATGAGGTTCCTGGGGGAGGCGGGGAGGGATCAAATCTTTTCCCTCTCTGCCCTCCCCTGGACTGAGCACAGGATCTCAGGTAGAGGAGGGGCTCAGTGTTTGCTAAATGAACAAATGGATGGATGAATGGATATGTGTTATGTGCTACATTGTATAACCTGTGCAGGGGAAGTGGGATGAGGGCAGTAAGGAGGTCCCTTGGGGGTGGCAGTGTGAACTAACTGGCCCTAAAGCATTTCAGTGGAGGGAATGGAAGTTGGCACGGGGTGTGCTGTTTGGGTTAGGTGGAGAATGAGGGTAGGAGTGGGGTCTTGAATGCCAGGCTGAGCGGTTAGATTTGATTTCTTTGGAATTAGCAACCATGGGTGGGAGTGGACTAGCTGGAGGAGGGATCTTTTGAGGGGAGGTGTGGCTGAGAGGAAGGGCTGTTTTTATAGATCAGTTGTTACTGGGAACTTTTAGGGGGAAAACAGTGGTGTGTGTGTGTATGTGTGTGTGTGTGTGTGTGTGTTTTAGTTGGAGACTTAAAGGATATGGAATGTTACAGGGATGCTGGTTATATTCTTTGATTCAACAAACACTGAGTGCCAGCTACCTGCTAAGCACCAGGGGTCCACAAAATAATGATGCAAACTGCCTAGGCTTAGTGAGCTCACATCAACAATTTTAATGCCCATGGGAAATGTCATCCTAGTGAAAGCATGGGTATCTTATGGTAGGGGGTCAAGTAGAGAGGTCATCATCAGAGGTTCAGAGGGCCAGGGAAAGTATCACAGAAGACATGGGTTTTGTGGGATGATTAGGAGTTTGCCACGTAGGCAAGATGAGGGAAATGTCTCAGGGAGAGGGAACCGCTAGTGTAGACCTAAGGACATGTGGGAAACAGCAGGCCCAAGGGTGTGGTAAGGCTGTGGCTGGATGTCAAGTGCACTGTGGTTGAGCAGTGAGGCTGGGAAAAGTAGCAGGGGCCAGGTCACGGAGGGTGATGGAGGGCCAGTGGGAGACCCTGGTCACTCTGAAGGGGCTCAAGGTAGAGGCAGCGGGTCTGTCAGCAAGGTCATTGTCACCATCAGGTGAACACGGATGGCAGCACGAACCCAGGAGAAAACAACAGGGGCTGCTGTGTGGAGCCTGGACTGGAATGGAAATGGCTGAGGTAGTGAGCCTCCTAAATTCATTCCTCAGAAGTTTACTGAGCGCCTACTACATGCCAGGCCCCGTTCTAGGCACTCGGGATACATCAGGGAGCAGAACAGTCATGGGGTCCTCGCTGAGCTAGCTCTTCCTTAGGATGACTCCTCTCTTCTGAAACTCAGTGTGGGGACAAGGGGGCGGGAAGGAGGGACTGAGAACTGGGCTTCGGAGCCTCTCCGCTGCTGCTGGTGGCGTGGTCCAGGCGCGAGGACACCCGTCCCCTGACTTTGCCCTGGCCTCTCTCCCAGCTCCCTGACTGGCCCACGGCCATGGCTGCGGTGGTGGCCCAGAAGCTCGTCCGTCTCCTGCCCAGTTGGCGGCAGGCCCACCAGGAGCCTCAGCCATCCGAGCAGCCAGAGCCTGTGTTCACAGTGGACCGCGCCCAGGTGCCACCCCTCTTCTGGAAGCCGTACATCTATGTGGGCTACCGGCCGCTGCATCAGACCTGGTGCTTCTACTTCCGCACGCTGTTCCAGCAGCACAATGAGGCGGTGAACGTGTGGACCCACCTGCTGGCGGCCCTGGTGCTGCTGCTGCGGCTGGCCGTCTTCGCGGGGACCGTGGACTTCTGGGGAGACCCGCACGCCCTGCCCCTCTTCATCATCATCCTTGCCTCCTTCACCTACCTCTTCTTCAGCGCCCTGGCTCACCTCCTGCAGGCCAAGTCCGAATTCTGGCATTACAGTTTCTTCTTCCTGGACTACGTGGGCGTGGCAGTGTACCAGTTCGGCAGCGCCCTGGTGCACTTCTACTACGCCATCGAGCCTGCCTGGCACGCGCAGGTGCAGGCCGTCTTCCTGCCCCTGGCCGCCTTTCTCGCCTGGCTTTCTTGCACCGGCTCCTGCTACAGCAAGTACATCCAGAACCCTGGCCTGCTGGGCCGCACTTGCCAGGAGGTGCCCTCGGCGCTGGCCTACGCGCTGGACATCAGCCCCGTGGTGCACCGCATCCTGGTGTCCCCTGACCCTGCTGCAGACGACCCGGCTGTCCTCTACCACAAATGCCAGGTGGTCTTCTTCCTTCTGGCCGCCGCCTTCTTCTCCTCCTCCGTGCCCGAGCGCTGGTTTCCCGGCAGCTGCCATGTCTTTGGCCAGGGCCACCAGCTCTTCCACGTCTTCCTGGTGCTGTGCACGCTGGCTCAGCTGGAGGCCGTGGCCCTGGACTACGAGGCCCGGCGGCCCATCTATGAGCCTCTGCACACCCGCTGGCCCCACAACTTCTCCGGCCTCTTCCTGCTCGCCGGGGGCAGCAGCGTCCTGACTGCGTTCGTCCTGAGCCAGCTGGTCCGGCGCAAGCTCGACCGGAAGACCCGGTGAATGGGGGTGGCAGCTGGGAGGGAGGGAGGCGTCGGGGGTGCCTGGGGGTCGGGGCTTGGCCGCAGATGGGAACAAGCCCTGGTAAAGCTGCTTGTGTCTGGCCTGTGGTGACTTTCCGGGAATGCCTCAGCTGCCAAGGTGGTAGCGGCCGGTCCTTTGGGGACTTGGGGGTTGGCGGGGAGCGGCTGGGGCTCACCCCTGGGCCCGCCCCCCCTCCCTGCCCTGGGAGAGAAAAAGAGATAAAAATGGGGGCCACGCTGGTTTGCCTTCCCCCATTGCCTCTCACTGGGGATGAGGATCAGGGGGTCAGCTGCGCCCGCGACCTTGGTTTGGAGCTTCTAGATTTTCTGAGAGGGGGTGAAAGTGGAGTTTAGGCCAGAGTCTGCTTTGATCTGAGAGGCAGAAGAGGCCGGAGCAAGCCCCCTCTACCCCGATTTCACCGGTGGTTAGGAAAGGGGGGGGCTCCAAATGTGTGCAGCCTCCCTGTACCATTCCTTGACCTGCAGCCTGGAGTTTTAGAGTTCCGGGAAGTCCCCAAAGGTAGAAGATTGTGCCAGGTGGAAATGGAAGTGCCCCGTCCCTTCAGTCAGCCCCCCACACAGTGAGCCCCAGCCTTTCCAGCTCTGGCCTTGATGTCCTGCACATCCTGTCCCCAGCCTCTCTTCTGGTTTCCTTGATCATGGTTCAGGTATGCGTCCAGTGTTTCCTGGGCCGCTGCTCACAGGCAGGCTACCAGTGGCCTGTGGACCAATGCAGGAGTATAAAAGCTTTACTATCAGAATGACTTGTCAGGGGAGGTGCTGAGGAAGGAATAATCAGAGCTGCCTGTGACCCTCAAGGTCTTGGGTTGGAAGGGTGAATAGGAGTTTGCAGATGGAGTGCATTCCTGGTAGAGGAAGCCTATACAGAGGCCAAAGAGGTATGGAAGGAGGAGTTCAGTGGGGATGGACTTAGGGGTGGTCTGGACTCTGATGAAATAAAGTGACTGTAATGACACCAGCCTCTTTGCTTTTTGTCTTCTCTCCCAGGAACCCCCATGGACCTGCTCACTGTGTTGAGGGTGTTTTCCAGGGGAAGCTGGGGTCCCCGGGGGTGGAAATGGGGAGGAGGAAGGCAGTTCCTGTTTTATCTTTCCCTGGGGATGGGGGCCCTATACACTATATATCTGAACTTTCTCCTTTTGGCAGGGAAGGGAGGGCATTTTATTACTAAATATGTTAAGAATTTTAAAAAATTTATTTATTTTTGAAAGAGAGAGAAAGAGACAGAATGGAAGCAGGGGAGGGGCAGAGAGAGACACACACACACACACAGAATCCGAAGCAGGCTCCAGGCTCAGAGCTGTCAGCACAGAGCCTGATGCAGGGCTTGAACTCAGAAACTGTGAGATCATGACCTGAGCCGAAGTCTGACGCTTAACTGACTGAGCCACCCAGGTGCCCCTATTACTAGATATGTTTTAGAAGATAAAGGAACAAATCCCACTTTATTATGTGACTGGGTCTCCTTCAATCAAGGAGGAGTTTATATGTACAGTGAAGGAAAACTAAGAAGTACAGATAAGAAAAAAAAAACAAATGAATAAGAAATATCATTCTCCTGATACACACACACACACACACACACACACACCCACACACAGTGGATATATGATATCCTACTACATATGCATATATAACTTATGTATACATATATAAAGAACATCTGTGGGGACTGTGATTAGGGACAGAAGGATGAGTGCGAGGCTAACACTTCTGCATTTCTGAGGGGCTTTCAGAATTTGCAAAGTACTTTCACAAATGTTACCCCACTTCATCGTCTTTAAAATCCAAGGTCACACATAAGCTGTGAAGGCAGGACTGGGAGCTAGCTCTGGCAGCTGGCCGTCCTGGGACTCCAAACTTTTAGCCTTCATTTTTCTTAACATTTTCTTTCTTTCTTTATTATTATTATTATTATTTTTAGTACTTATTCATTTTTGAGAGACAGAGCATGAGCAGGGAAGGGGCAGACAGAGGAGACACAGCATCTGAAGCAGGGTCCAGGCTCTGAGCTGTCAGCACAGAGCCCGAGGCGGGGCTTGAACCCACAAACCGCCAGATCAAGACACGAGCGGAAGTCAGGCGCTTAACCGACTGAGCCACCCAGGCGCCCCTTTCTTAACATTTTCTAAATCCTCTCCCATGTGGTTTCATAGTTATACTTAGATCTTTTTTTTTTTTTTAATTTCAAAAGTAATTCATAGACTCGAGTGTATGGTTAACACTTAGGGTGGCTCAGTCCATTAAGCGCAGTGGGACTTGGGCTCAGGTCATGATCTCACAGATGGTGAGTTCGAGCCCCCCATCAGGCTCTATGAGGACGGCTCAGAGCCTAGAGCCTGCTTCATATTCTGTATTTCCCCTCTCTCTCTGCCCCTCCCCCGCTCGCTCACTCGGTTAAGAATAAAGAGACATCAGAAAAGTTTTTTTTTAGGGGCACCTGCGTGGCTCAGTCGGTTGAGCATTTGACTTCGGCTCAGGTCATGATCTCACAGTTCGTGGGTCCGAGCCCCGCGTCGGGCTCTGCTGACAGCCAGCTCAGAGCCTGGAGCCTGTTTCAGATTCTGTGTCTCCTCTCTCTGAACCTCCCCTGCTCACACTGTCTCTCTCAGAAACAAATAAAACATTAAAAAATAAAACATTAAAAAAAAAGTTTTTTAAGCGCAACTAATTTAGCAAAAAGAAATGCACGTTCTGTATGCAATGGCGCGAACACGTTGACACAGCATAGTCACGCGAAAGCGACTCTTGAGTTATAAGATAGATCACAAAAGACGTGAAGGACTCGGAAACGGGAAAGGCGCGCGCCTTCCTGAGAGGTGAGCGAACCGGCGGTCAGAGCCTCCCGCCAGAGTTAAGGAAAGGGGCGGGGCTTGGGGCGGGACGGGGCTGACGCTGGGGCGGGGCCTGCGCCGGCGGCCACGTCGTGGCTCGGCCCACCTGCGTTGGCGCGAGATCCGAACGCCCGCGGCGGCCGTTATAGCCATTCCCTGAGGCCATTCCCTGAGCGGCAGTGGGAGCCGGGCGTCCTGTGGGCTGGGTTTCCGCGGCGGCCATGAGGCGGAGAGGCCCAGAGGAGGGGGCCTGCGGCGTGTGGCTGGACGCGGCAGCGCTGAAGAGGCGGAAAGTGCAGGTGGGTCGTGGGGGCGAGAGACGGTGTTGGGGGAGGGGTTAGGGACCGGCGGCGTGAGAAGGGAGGTGATGGAGGTAAGGTCGGGGACCAAGAAAGGACCGGCTTTGGGAATTCTGAGGCGAGAGGGATTGGAGCCCAAAGACGGGTGAAAAATGCGGTTTGGGAAGAGTGGAGACGAAGTGGGAGCAGAAGGTCGGCAGGCTGTGGATGGGTGAGGAAGAGACTGGGACGGCAAGGCTTGGAGGTGTGGGAAGAGAGGGCACAGAAAATGTGCCCCGAGGAGAGTTTGTTTTTTGATTGAACTGTGCTTGACATTCAATATCCTGTTAGTTTCAGGTGTACCTCACAGTGATTCAATATTTTTATGCGTTAAGAAAGTGATCCCCAGGAGAAGTCTGGTTGCTGTGGTCACCATGCAAAGTTACTACAATATTATTGACTATATTCCCTTCCCTGTACTTTTTACCTCCCATGACTGACTTTATTTTGTAACTGGAAATTTGTGACTTAATCCCCTTCACCTGTTTCAATCCCCGTCGCCTGCTTCGCCCGCTCCCCAGCCCCTCCCCCTCTGGTAACGCACAGTTTGTTTCTTACACCTGCGTGTCTGTTTCGGGTTTTGTTTTATTTAGAGTCCACATAGGAGTGAAGTCAGACCTATTTGTCTTTTTCTGTTTAATTTCACTTAGCATAATAGCCTTTAGGTCCATCCATGCTGTACGGCAGAATTTCATTCTTATTTATTATTATTTTTTTTTAAGTTTTATTTATTTTGAGAGAGCGCGCGGGAGCGGGAGAGGGGCCAAGAGAGAGGGTAGAGAATCTCAAGCAGGCTCTGTGCTGTCAGCGCAGAGCCAGATGTGGGACTGGAAGGCACAAACCGAAGTCCAGAACTGTGAGATCAGAACCTGAGCCGAAGTCAAGAGTCAGGTGCTCAGACTGAGCCACCGGGGCGCCCCAGGGTTTCATTCTTTACGGGTGAGTAATACTTCATTGTAGATATTACCACATCTTCTTTACCCATTTGTTTGATTGATGGACACTTGTCTTGTGGCCATATCTTGGCTGCTGTAAATAATACTGCAGTGAATACAGGGAGGGGTGCATATATCTTTTCTATTTGGTGTTTTCATTTTCTTCAGGTAAATACCCAGAAGTGGAATTACTGGAGTATATGGTAATTGTTTCCAATTTTTTTTTGTTTTTTAATGTTTTTTAAAATTATTTAAACAATTTTTAAATATTTTTTTATAGTTTATTTTTGAGACAGAGAGGGAGACAGAATCTGAAACACTCTCCAGGCTCTGAGCTGTCAGCACAAAACCTGATGTGGGCTCAAACCCACAAACTGAGAGATCATGACCTAAGTGGGGGTTGCTTAACCAGCTAAGCCACCCATATGCCCTATTTTTAATTTTTGAGGAACTTCCATATTTTTTCCATAAGTAGCTGCACCCCTTTGTGTTCCCAGCAACAGTGTATGAGGGTTCCCTTTTCTCCACATCCTCTCCAACACTTGTTATTTTTTATCTTTTTGATACTAGCTATTCTAACAGGTGTGAAGTAGTATCTCACTGGGGCTTTGATTTGCATTTCCCTGATGGTTAGTGATATTGAGCACCTTTTCATGTGTCTTTTGGCCATCTGTATGTCTTCTTTGGAAAAATATCTTTTCACATCCTCTGCCCATTTTTTAATCTTTTTTTTGATACTAAGTTTATAAGTTATTTTGAATGTTAACCTCTTAAATGTGTGATTTGCAAATATCTTCTCCCATTCAGTGGGTCGCCTTTTTGTTTTGTTGGTTTCCTTTGCAAGAGCTTTTTAGTTTAATGTAATCCCATTTGTTTATTTTAGCTTTTGTCCTTGCCTGAGGAGCCTAGTCCAAAGAGCTGCTGCTAAGATGGATGTCAAAGAGCTTATTGCCTATCTTTTATTCTTGCAGTCTTATGGCTTCAGGTCTTGTTTTTTTTTTTTTTAATGTTTAATTTATTTCTAGGAGAGAGAGAGAGAGAGACAGCATGAGCAGGGGAGGGTCAGAGAGAGAGGGAGTCACAGACTGAAACAGGCTCCAGGCTCTGAGCTGGCGGTCAGCACAGAGCCCGACGTGGGGCTCGAACCCACGAACCGTGAGATCATGACCTAAGCAAAAGTCAGACGCTTAACCGACTAAGCCACCCAGGCGCCCTGTGGCTTCAGGTCTTAACATTAAGGTCTTTAGTACATTTTGAATTTATTTTTATATATGGTGTTAAGATAGTGGTCCGGTTTCCTCAGCACCATTTATTGAGGAGACTGTCTTTTCCTCATTGTATATTCTTGTCTCTTTTGTAGTAGATGAATTGCTCATATACTTGTGGGTTTATTTATGGGCTCTCTATTACATTGACCTATGTGTGTGCCTCTGTCAGTACCATACTGTTTTGATTACTGTGGCTTTATGGTATAGTTTGAAATCAGGGAGTATGCTATTTACAGCTTTGATCTTCTTTCTCAAGATTGCTTTGTCTGTTTGGGATTCCATACCAATTTTAGGATTATTCTAGTTTTGTGAAAAATGGTATTTTGATGGATTGTATTGAATTTGTAGATTCTTTGGGTAGTATGGATATTTTAACAGTATTAATTCTTCCAGTCCATGAGCAAGATACATTTTTTTCCACTTACTTTTATCATCCTCAATTTCTTTCATCCATGTCCTACAGTCTTCAGAGTACAGGCCTTTTACCTCTGTGTGTCATAGACTCTGGGTCTAAAGTTCTCTTGTCTAGCAAGAGACCGGATGCAGGATTAAAAAGCAAGAGATGGCTAATGTCCAGGAGAAGACAAGAGCCCCGAATAAGGGTCCTTGCTCCATATTTATTAAGATCAGAAGGCTTACAAGCGTGATGGATATGCACAAAGGGACCGTGAATCTGTGAACATTAACTCATGGACATGAGGGAAAGGGGGATTTGAAGATATATGGTGTTAGGGGTTTAGGTCTATATAAAATGAAATCCTGGTGCCGGGCAGGATTTTTTTTCTGATAGCTCCTTATTAGTGTATAGAAATGTACCTATAGGGGTGCCTGGGTGGCTCTTTCTGTTGGGTGTCTGACTTCAGCTCAGGTCATGATCTCACAGTTTGTGGTTTTGAGCCCTGTGTGGGGCTCTGTGCTGACAGCTCAGAGCCTGGAACCTGCTTTGGATTCTGTGTCTTTCTCTCTCTTTGCCCCTCCTCCACCCCTCCCCCACTCATGCTCTGTTTCTCTCACAAAACTAAATAGGCATAAAAAAAAAGTAATCAGCCTAGGGGTGCCTGGGTGGCTCATTCTGTTGAGTGTCTGACTTTGGCTCGGGTCGTGATCTCATGGTTCATGGATTCGAACCTCGCGTTGGACTCTGTGCTGACACCTCAGAGCCTGGAACCTGCTTTGGATTCTGTGTCCCTCTCTCTGGCCCTCCCCAACTCACACTCTGTCTCTCACTCTCTCAAAAAAATAAACTGAAATAAATATTTTCAATCAGTCTAAAATAATACATATGCCAAAGAGACACATTTTGGACTGGCAAATTTTGTTCCCCTACAGTGACTACAATCTCCTGAACAAAGTAATTGAGGACTGTTAAAAAGTGTCTTACAACTAAAGTAATTTTTTATTCTTATTTATTTTAGAGCTTATATATTTATTTATTTTTGAGAGAGAGAGAGAGAGAATGCAAAACAAGTAAGGAAGGGGCGAAGACAGGGAGACAGAATCCACCGAATCTGAAGCAGGCTGCAGGCTCCAGGCTCCCGAGCAGTCAGGGCAGAGCCCAACACAGGGCTCAAACCCACGAAGTGAGAGATCACAATCTGAGCTGAAGTCAGACACTTAACTGACTGAACCACCCAGGTGTCTCTAAAGTCATTTTTTAAAAAATGTTTGTTTATTTTGAGAGAGAGAGTATGAGCAAAGGAGGGGCAGAGAGAAAGGGAGAGAGAATCCCAAGCAGGCTCCACACTGTTAGCTCAGAGCTTTATGTGAGGCTTCGTCTTCTCACTAACTGTGAGATCATGGCCCGAACAGAAGTCAAGTGTTGGACACTTAACTGACTGAGCCACTCAGGTGCCCCTAAAGTCATGTAAAAAAAATTGTTTTTAATGTTTGTTTATTTTTGAGAGAGAGAGAAACTGAATGGAGTGGGGAAGGGGCATAGAGAACGGCAGACACAGAATTCAAAGCAAGCTCCAGGTTCTGAGCTGTCAGCACAGAGCCCAGTGTGGGGCTCAAACTCACACTGTGAAATTATGACCTGAGCCAAAGTCAGACACTTAACTGACTGAGCCACCCAAGTGCCCCCGCTAAAGTCATTTTTTGAGAAATAACAAATAAACCACCTGTCCCTTAAAAATTTTTTTTTTACTTGAAAATGGTTTTTTTTGGGGCGGGAGAGGGGTGGTGGCACCTGGGTTGCTCAGTCGGTTAAGCGTCAAACTTTGGCTCAGGTCATGATCTCATGGTTTGTGAGTTCGAGCCCTGCGTTGGGCTCTGTGCTGTCTGCACAGAGCCTGCTTCGGATCCTGTGTCTCCCTCTCTTCTGCCCCTCCTCAGCTTGTGTGTGCCTGTGCTTGCTCCTTATCCCTCTTTCCCACAAAAATAAATATTAAAATATATTTGGGGTAGGTAATATAATTTATCTGGTATATAATTTGAAATGTATGGGATATGCAGTGAAATATCTCCTTAATACTTTTAACTATCCTTGGCCCATCTCAGAGGCCACAACTTTCTTGTCTATCCTTCCAGAGATACTCTGTATATGTACAAGCAAATACAATATATATTTTTCCTTATAAATAGCATATTCTACGTTGTTTTGCAACTTGCTTTTTCTCACTCTTGCATCTTATGTATTATTTCATATGCATTCACAAATGGCTGCTTTATTCTTTGTAAAGACTATATAGTATTCCATGATACGGAATAGTATCCATTGTATGCAGTTGTTTGCCTTCATCTACTCAGGCCGCCATAA